GTGATTTAATATAATTTGAAAAACTTTAGCTCTGTTAATAGACTTACATCAAAATGATCTTCACAACAGTATAACATAGTGGTAGGAATTCAATACTTGCAGCCTGGTACCAAAGAATCCTTGTGTCAAGATCTATCGGATCTGATAAGAATATTTCATCAGGCGAATTGATACTTGTGTTTGAACACACCTCAATAAGACACTTTTTTACAGACATTTTGTTGTATTGTAATGTTCAAAAGAATTCGATATACAGGGTGACTTCGAAGTTGAGTCATTTATTTTAACAGTGAGTAGATTTGATCAAAAGAAATGTTTTTTTCCTTTACCATTTTTCTGGTAAAATTAAAGTAACAAAGTTATAGCCCTTTGGAAGTTTGAGTACCGCCCTGTCTCAATAATAATATTATGTGCTCGTGTTTGGCGACAACGGATATAATTCGCCTTATCGGTTCATCGCATCGGAAACAAAAAAGCGAAAGAATTTGGAACGATGTTTTTACAATTATTTCATTCAGTTGTATACAGTCAGTGTCAGTCGGTAGTGGATAGTGGTGTTTGTTGCGTGGCTCAAACGAAATAAAAAATGGCACATGTTTATGCGGATCGGTTTCCCAATCGAGTGCAACCAACCCCTCGTGCCTTTGTTAATGTAGTACAACGGGTTCGTGAATCATTTGACTTAAGACCTCACATATGGACGGCATGCCGGTGCTCCAAGACCTCACGATCAAATACAGGTCCGTACTGAAATACTTGTCGGGAGGATGCTTTATAAAACAAGGTAAATTTTTTTTTTATTTTTTTATTATTTTTACACACATATTTTGGTTTATCTTCCTTCTACAATCATTATCTGAAAATTAATGACTCAACTTCAAAGTCACCCTGTATAAAGGTTACAAAACGGATAACACAAAATCAACAGCACGAAACACGGTACGCAACTCTGCCACTGTCAAAAGTCAACGGTTTGACCCTCGTTGAACCACAATGTTGCCAAGTTATGTCGACCTACAGCTATAGATACATAATATAGACAGGTACACCATTGAGACAATACTGTTGATCGGAATAAAGAAGCGCTGCTAAGTCGTGAACTTTCATGAAATTCCCTAGTGCATGGCAATAGCGCTGATGCTTATCCTTGATAAAAATATCGTCACATTCTAATGAGAACCTTAAAAAAAATCGATTCCTATTGGCTGATTTTTTCGGAGGGACATACATGAAGTTTGAATGAACCCACTTTGGTGGTATGAATTTCAAATGTATTTTTTTCAGCAAATGAGTGAAAAAAGCGCGTGCACAGTGTATACCAATTGATAAATGGTGTAAACAATCAATTTCAGCCATCAATAGGACAATATCACCAAGTTGGAAAATACCCCATTGTGTAAAGTATTAGAGAAAACCAAAATCATGCAATAGACCAGCGTTATATGGAAACAAGTCGGCACAAAGTGCCATGTGTTACCAAAATTGACCAATGCGACACAGTTAACAGTATACTGTCTGCTGAACCTGTGTCCCAGCTGTTCACGGATGGCCGTCTGTGGTCGGACAATTAAAAGCTATAGTCAACGCCAAACAAAGTGGCGTGCACGTCATCACGATAAAAATTCCCCGACCTAATGCCTAGGTTTCTATCACAAACAATTGCTCTATTGCAGTATCATATTAATGTGATATATAAATTGTAAAATGGTCATTACTCTCTTATTATGGTTAATAGTCATATAAACATTGTTATTAAAATATCACATAAGTTGCTTTCTGATAAATTTAGACGCATTATGCGAAATAAAATGTTTTGCAAACGCTCCAATCACTTATCGACATGTAAACGCACTAAACCGATTTCGCAGCGTTGACACATTGTCAGCTTGAAACTTATTTAAAGTGGGATCTGACATTTGTATTAATTTTGACACTGAATCAATTTGTGGCATTTCAAATCTTTATAAATCCTTTGGCCCCGCATACTGTAAATCAACAACTGTTTGTTTCAAAACAAAATTATTCATTTTACGAGTAGATAAAGGCAATTTTGGTCTATAAAGATGCCCAAACAGTTAAATAGTCGGTGTAAGGAACTCGTGGCCTCGTTAATGCACTACTTTGAGCAAGAAAGGGACAACGGGCCTTTGTTGCCTTTAAATGCTGTTCAAGAGGTAGGTTACTAATAATTATATGTAATGTATATTAATAATAGTGAAATTTTATTTCATTTTTTGTAGCGTGTTGCTGCTGCTTTAAAAATTAGTTTAAGGACAGTTAGTCGTATTTCCGAGGGTGTGAAAAGTGATGCAAATTTAGAATCGCCCAAGAAAAAGCGGAGTTATATTAAACGTGTAACCAACACAGCGACATTGGATACAAGTGCCATTCGAGAAGTGATCTATAATATGTATCACAAAAGTAAGATCTTATTATAATAACTTATCAGATATTTGCATTAATTTGTTAACTAAATTATAATGTCATATTACACATGGTTTCAGAAGAACAAGTTACGATACAAACTTTATGGTCTCGATTAAGAGATAGGGCATTATTTGATGGTAGTGCCACGTCTTTAAGGCGGTTGCTTAGAGATCTTGGAGTTAAGTGGCTTAAGGACAATCCGCGACGAGGGCTCATGGAACTACCAAGTATAGCTTTGAAAAGGGTGGAATTTCTAAGGCAATACAATCAAGCCAAGGTTGAGGCCTTATACCAGTTTGTCTTCCTCGATGAAACTTGGATATTTCAAAATGGGACCATACGTCGCTCTTGGCAAAATGGAAACCAAAAAAGCGTGAAAGCTATTAAAACAGATGGTAAAAGGTATGTACTTTTACACAATTTGCACTATAAAATTTAAAACTAATATATTTTAGATACATTATATTACATGCTAGAAATGAAAATGGGTTTATTGAGGGTAGTGAAGCGATATTTTCTTCGAAAACAAAATTGAGCGATTACCATGGAGAGATGAACCAGGACAATTTTTTGAAATGGTTTCAACATCAGTTATTAGAAAAATTGGAGAGTCCATCTATGATTATACTGGATAACGCCCCTTATCACAGCATGATATTGAACAAAGTGCCCAACAATGCATGGACAAAAAAAAATATCCAAGACTGGTTGACAAATCAAAACATACCATTTTTAAACACAATGTTTAAAACAGAGCTATTGAGTATTGTTGCTCGGTACATAATGCTTCTTAATTATATATATTTTGGTCGACAGTTTATATTTCTTTTGTTTATTCCTATTCTTAAAATAACTGCTTTTTTAGAAACAAACCACCTAAAATATACGTGATTGATGAATTGGCGGAACAACATGGGCACAAGGTTCTTCGTCTGCCTCCTTACCATTGTATATTTAACCCTATTGAGTTAATTTGGGGCATAGCAAAAGGTTACTATAACAGACATATTGGTAGAGATGGTAACAGTGAAAAAGACTGTTTGGATATGTGGAACGAGGCTCTACAAACGGTTACCCCAGACATGTGGAAAAATAGTGTTCGACATACTGAGCAAGCAATTTTTAAATGGTATGAAAGAGAACGAATTTTTGATCGACCAGACATCGAACCTTTAATAATCAACTTTGAGAGTGATGAAGATTCAGATTCAGACAGCGCTGAAGAAAGAAACTCCGACTAACTTTATTGTACAGAAAAAGCTTACACCAGTAGCTTACCTAATTTTAGAATGCATTTTTCTGTATGAATTCTGTAAAATAAATACCATGCATAAAATTTGGAGGACCCCATTTGGATTTTTATTCAGTACCTTTAAGCTATCAATTAAATATGGTAGTTTCATAGTGTCATCTGATCAATAATTGTCATACTTAATGATTATGCAAGTACAGATCTATAATTTTATTATACTATTATTTTTGTTCTCATTTGAGGTTAATATTGCTTATAAACCTAGATATGTAAATAATAAATTTTATTATGTTACAAAAAGTTTGGCAACAATGTAAATTTTTCAACACACCCACCTTGACGTGCACGCCACTTTGTTTGGCGTTGACTATATATGGTTTAAATTGTGACTTGTTCGAAGAGCAGCTCCTTTCTCCTCTTATTGGTCTCCCTACCCAAATAGTTTTCAAGTTATCCAAATATCGCGTACATGAACGAATGAATTTATGGTAGATATTCTGCAACAGTGTAATTTGGAATGGTAAAACATCCTTCACGTCTGGTCTTTCTTAGATCAAGCAGAAAGACATCGAAATTACAAAAAGTATAAAACCCACAATTCGTGCAATAAAGCACTTGGCAGTGAAAAAATTATTTATTCGTGGTTTAGTGATGCTATTTATACTAGTACGGACATTTAACATCATAAACCGGCTTCCAACTGAATTTCGCATTTAAAGTAGCTAGGTACATATTCTTATACTTACCTTCTATCCTGAAAAAACGACTTGGACGCGAGCGCGTGGCTTGAAATAATGAACAATTTCGCTGTTTTTAGAACCGATAACTAATCACTTATCCCAATTTGTTGAAATTCAATGCTTACATTGCGGCTGTAATCCCTGATCTACTTTCCGTGTATTTACCTCTTTAGTATTATACTTACAATATACCTTTTCTACTAAACACCTAGTAGTTTTAGATTCCTTATAAATTAAATTTTGTCCAACTAGTTTTGTCATTGGTCCCACTGTGCGGGATCTATGTGAGCCAGAAATAGTCATATAACCGTATCAACCTCATAACAAAAGCCCGTAAAAAAGAGGTTGCTTAAATGTTTGTTATCTAGTATGCTAACTTGATAGCTTGATAAAAGTTTTTTAAATTTACACGAACACCAGTGAAAACAAAATCAAAGGATCAAATTTTCCCAGAGTTAATCATGACTATGAAACAATTTAGCTAATATCAACTTCATCACTCTATGAAACGTTGAGTACATACGGTCGTTTGAGCTTTTCCTTAATCCAAAATCTAACACATCTTTTTGAATTTTTTACAGCGAATACTACTAGACATGAACGTAGAAACCTCCCTGCAAGTTCTACGTCAAGCAGAAATCATCAAAATTACAACGGCGTTGCAGATTCTTCTGCGTCAAACACATATAATGGCAGAAATACATATCAGGTACCTGCTTTTGATCGAAGTGTTCCAGGATCGCACTACGGGCCTATTCGCAGTATTTTTTTTCCTGAAACCCAGGCTAGTAGTTTGGCAAGCTATACGGATACATTCACCAGCAACCTTACGGCAGCAAATATTCCTGACCTAAGGAAGGTTCCCATCACAGGGCTTCCTCAGAGTAGATTGAATGCCAATCATCTGGAACAAAAACATCAAAATGTTAGCACTCCTGGTTTTTCTTATATGTCAAGCTCATCTACAAATGCTGTAAATCCATTTCCACCAAAACGTGACAAAACTTCATATATACACGATAAGACTTTATCTGACAGAACCACACACCTAATGCCTGCTATACCTGTTCGTACCCAAAGTAACCGTAGTAATAAATCCAGCAACAATTATCCACAGACAAAGAACTATGTATCTAAAAATCCGTTTAGTATGGAACCAACAAACACCACTGGCTCTTCTAAAGTCTCGGAAGAAAGTTTAATGCAAGATGCTAAACTTCCAATTTCTCCTTCTTATCCTAATAGACAGATATTATCTGCTGATCAGTTGCTTAATGATCATCGACAGAGAAATGTTGTTCCAAATCAGACAACAAGGAGCATTGATAGTACCCGAACACTAGATTCAGTTAAGAACAGCACCAAATATCCCATTGAAGGTGTTGTTAGACGTTTCAGTGATGACTTCTCAGATTTTTTTAACGATCATGACATAAAATTGGCTGTCGAGGATAAAACTTCCAACACGCCTCCCAATACACCAGCAAAAGGTACGGGTTATCACATATTTGGAAGGAACACTATACAAGAGGTCAAAGAGCAAAGAAGACCAAGAAAGAACCCTCCTACACCTTTAGCTAGACCCCATGGTCAAGTCATGGAACCATCCTCACAAACACAGGTAAACCATTTTGAAGAGGAAGAGGCACCAACGGCGTTTTCGAGATATCTCGGATCAAGATTCGCAGAAAATGAGATTCCATCTGAAGTAGGCAAGGAAAATGGCAACGAAGAGTCTGCAGATGTTGTTGAGGATGAAGCTGAATGTATGAATGTAGCTGAGAGATTCAAGGCATGGTTTTGTGAAGTATTTTGCTGTGACTATGCTAGCTAAACATGTAGAGACCAAGCGGCAGAAGAAACAATCCACATCACAGAACATCATCCGCGGCGTCTTCTGCTGGTGTTAGATACCCAACGGATGTGGCTACGAATGGAAAAAACTCGGTGCACTGGTGGACTTTGAATATGGCATACCCAGGATGCGGGTTATAGTCGATATTGCAGACATGCATACTTTATACCACATGGTAGATATATATTTCAATATTTTGAAGACTGTTCTTTATTTTTGTGTTCGTAAAGTGATTGAGATCAACTAGCCAAAGCACAAGGATCCTCGAACACGGCCTACTTTGACTCTGAAAGATGCAAGTACAACTAGTCTTGGTCTTATCCGACATCGCCTGATGGGAGTGTATGGGTGCAATATATGACGCTTAACCAATTCCAAACTATACGTACCAGACAGGTCTGCAAAATGAGTGTTTTTAAAGACTCTATATGAACATGGACATCACAGTTTTTGTTTCAGTAGTGTTTCATTTGTCCACTTTCTATGTGTTCATTAATTTATATACTTTCTCTATTGTTTTATACGCTTTCTGTTTTTATTATTATTAAATTACATAGGTCTTGACAGTGTATCCCTTTCATTTTTCGAGAGTTACCTTCATCAAAGAACTTAGTGTGTTTTTCTCAATCAAGAAATGTCTCAAGTGACAATAATTCCCTCAGGCGTACCTCAGGGCTCTGTATTGGGGCCGCTTCTGTTCCTCATATATACGTTCGACTTAAGCAAAAGTATTGATAATTCTCATGTCCAGTCATTTGCAGACGATACGCAATTGCTTCATTATTTTAACCCAGATAATGTCAATAATACTACTCAAATTTTACAAAACGATGTAAATAAATTAATTAAATACTCTTTAGATCACAATCTACTTATTAATCCACAAAAATCTAAAATGTTATTATTTTGCGCACAAAGAAAAACATACAATTTAACACAGCTCTTGAACATTCAGATAAATAACCAAATCTTGCAATTTTCTGATTCTGCAAAAATTCTTGGTGTTGTTTTTGATACAAAATTAAGGTTTATTCAACATGTTAAAAGTCTATCTCAGAAACCTACCTACGGCTGCGCACTCTTATAGCAAACAGGTATTTACTAAATTTTAAGATGCGTAAAAAACTATGTGAAGCATTGGTCATATCTATACTAAATTATTGTAATATCGTATACTATACTTGTTTAGACAATTTCACTAAAAACGTTATTCAAGTTATTCAAAACAATTGTATACGATTCATTTTTGGCTTACGTAATTTGATCATGTATCGGCGAAATATCCCGTTCTAAACTGGTTAAAAATTAATGACATGGTCAAGTATCACTATTCAGTTTTTGTTCACAAATTGCTGCTAACGTCTAAACCTTATTACTTGAAGGAAAAAATTTCATTTAATAATGATGTTCACTGTAGAACTCTCAGAGAAAATAATATTAGAATACCCCTGCATACGTCTACACTTTTTAAACGCAGTTTTTCTTACAATGTTGCTATTATTTATAATGACCTTCCTAAAGTATATAAAGAATTTTCATTACCTGTCTTTCGACAAAAAGTTAAAACATTATTACTCAACCCTCCAAACATATAATTTACGTAATTATTCATTTCTTTTTTATTCCATCTTTAATTCAGATTAATAATTTTTTGGTGCATTTGGGTTTGGAAAGTATGCCTTTTTCTCTTTTTTTTTTTTTAATTTTACTTTCGATGCAATGAACCAAATCTGTTTGTGGATAGTGTATTCTTTTGCTAGAGACTATATGGTTAAGTGTAAGAGTAGCAGCATGCTAAACTTCGCCATATAAGTCTGACATTTGGCTATACTACATGTAATTGTGCATAAATAAAGACGTCTATTATTATTATTCTTATATACACATCTTTTAATTTTAGATAGCTTATCAGTAGTTTTCACTTCATTATTTGTATCAACTATTATAAATAGAGAAATGAGGAATATATTGAGACTTAAAACAGACAAAAAATTGTATAATCACTACCTCCTTTCCAAAAGAATAGTGGAAAAGCGGCTACATGATAATGACTGAGAGTAAAACCAAAAGCTTGCTTATCAAAAGTCGAACCTAGGATCTTGCATTTCAAGAAAGTGTTTAGGTATAAGGGCTTACCTGCAAATATCTAGGAATGATAATACAGGGTGGCCCATAAGTCCTTTGAGCTGGAAAACAAGGAATAAAACCAAACTAGTTACATTATGAAGAATTATTATATTTTATCATCTTTATTGAATGGGAATTATGTTTTAAAAATCACATCGTCTAAATGCAATCCATTACGATCACGGCACTCATATAAACGACGTCTAAAATTGTCAATGACTGCGCGGCAAGTCAACACTGTAATGCTTGCCATTTCTCTTCGGATATTTTCTATCAGGACATCAACTGATCGCGGAGTGGTGTCGTACACTTTACTCTTGAGGTAGCCCCATAAAAGAAGTCCATTGGCGTCAAATCTGGACTACGTGGTGGCAAGGAAATGTCTCCTCTTTTAGAAATTACTTTGCTGGCAAAAAGTTGACAGACCACGGGCATAGAAGTGTTGGAGGTGTGGGCAGTTGCTCCGTCCTGTTGAAACCAGGTCTGCGTATTATAGCCTGGAAAATTCTGCAACGCTGGTGTCAAAAACTCTTCTATCATTGCTACATACCGCTCCGAAGTAACAGTTGATGCGCGACCTCTGTCGTCCTCAAAAAAATAAGGGCCTACGATGCCATGCGCTGACATAGCAGCCCAAACTGTAACTTTAGGGCTGTGTAAGGGCTTCTGATGCTTACGCCTTGGATTTTCGGGGCTCCAAAAACGGCAATTTTGTTTATTTACATGCCCGTTTAAATGGAACTGAGCCTCGTCCGAGAACAACAGATTATTGAGCGAAGAAAATCGATTCAACATTTCATTCGCAAAGTTTAGTCTCTGAATAGCGTCATTATCTTTTAATTCCTGCACTAACTGAATTTTGTAAGCGTGCAGACGTAAATCTTTCCTTAAAATCCGCTGTAAAGATGTTCTGGGTACGTTTAGTGCACTGGAACGCTTACGAGTAGACTGGGTAGGACTGTTTATCTAACGTCGAAGCAGTCTCTTCGAACTTAGCAACCCAGTTCTTAATCGTTTGAGCTGTTGGACACTTTGTAAAATTGTGTAAATTGTGGTATTCTCGATATTTACGCCGCGCAATGGTTGCCGAATCATTATTTTGATAAAACGCGCGCACACAAAAAGCACGATCCGCTCCAGTGAAACACTCCATGGCGACTGAATTCCCAGACACTGAAGATACTGCCCCAACCTCGCCCGCGCCGCTCACGCTCACCCGTTAAATTTTATTCAAATTTGAAATTTCAAAGGACTTATGGACCACCCTGTATAATTTGTCGCGCTGAGCAACAGCTGTTTTCCGTTATCTAATCGTATAATTGTGGTCAAACAAGTACCATGTGCCCCAGGTACGGCACGAAAGATACCTAGGATACTATTCAGACTTGATAGAGTTACCAGAAAATGCAGAGTCAGTGAAACCAGTCTGTTTAAAGACGGGGTCCGACTTAGTGCGTCTTACACTGTGTTTTGCATATGCAAAAACAGCCGAAACATCGGAGAAAATTCTTGGTAGGAATAATCGCAAGATCCACTACATACTTCTCGAACAAGCGACTTCGATCTCTATTCTCAAAAATCTCCGGGAGATGGCGCAACATTATCGCGTGTTCGTTTGCCCAATGTATTTTATACAGAAATCCAAACCGAGTTTGGGAACTCACCCGAGGCGGTCACATAAGAAGAAAACACAATTTAACTTGGGCAAAATCGAAATAGCGACGAACTTTTCGATCCACGCCATAATCCTACCAAAGGCGTATCTTTATTTGTTCAGCATGACCCGAAAACTCAGAGTCAATGACACTGCAGATATTTTTTCCAGAAAGTAAAACGAAAATGCTCCAAGTCAGATCCTGAAACGCCATTATTGCTAACTGTAAATTACAGCTTGAGTATCTGATTATTGCGCACTAGTACCAGTATAATTTATTCGCACAATTCATTACAGTATGCAACATTAAGTTGAAGCATATAACAATATATGAGAATCCCACAGGAAGGAATACTCCTTATACGTAGGTAAATGGCACAAAATAACTATCATTTTCATAATAATAATTACCCAACTAGCAAAGTAGTGCTATAAGCTTTTGGTAAAAGAACCGTTTAGCCATAAAAGCTCTCTATTGTTGTTGCCTGAACACCAAAATGCTGGCATAATGATATGTGGAATGCAAATTTGCTTTCTACAACATATTTGCTCTAAAATGAGGTGTTTAAAATATTCTTTAGCATAGTTGTACAACACCTTATAGGACAAATTTTTAACTGTTTATACAACTATTTTATATGGCCTATTTGCACGTTAGTCAAAATGATTGTTGTGGCATCCATGGTAACGTTTATAAGCCAAACCCGAGCCTTGTTGTTTTGCTGTGCATATTAAGTACTACTTTAGCCAACAAGTTGCTCCCAACGGAAGCACTTATACAACAAACTGTTGTTTAGTAACTGCTAAAGGCTGTACATATGCTTAATATGTTGGTATACAACTTCACCATAACCTAACTTTCTGCTGTCATATTTTTGTTAAAATGCCATAACCAATGATTTAAGACAAACAACGCATGCATATTGGTTCAAAAGGTTTTACCAACTGTTCAAACAGAAGATATAGATCTGGTACAAATTCTTGGTAAATCATTCGACTCTGTCGGTATTTCATTTCAGACATCTGTCAAATTGTTGTATAACACCTGCAGGCAACACCAAAATATTCTAATAAACTGCAGACAACATGGACGATGACATGATTATACACAACCACCAGCCATATTGGGCAAATAGTTATTCCTCTATTTAATATTAAATAATTATGTTTCAGTTGGAAATTACAGATATAAAGTGATAAACATTAGTGTAATTGTGTCTAAATATAGGATTTGTGGGAGATTTGACGCAGATAAGTTCTGTTTTCCATCTTAAAAATCTAGACATACTTTTGGTCATTATCAAAATATGCATCGAATAAGAAGCCCGTAGAAATTGCGTAATTTCTTTGCACGATAATCACAATAAAATTTGCTGCGCCAGAAATTCAATAGCTCTGTATCACAGTGTAGAAGTTTATCATATACCTGTGTATGAAATTCACAATGGCCGATATGTAAGTAAACAAGATGACTGTAATGTGTTAGATATATATTCTTCACTTCGTATATGCAATACATAAGAAATAGTTTGGTTGCAATAAAGTAGAATCACGTAACAGAATAGTTGTTTAGTTGACAAAAACTGAATCTTGCACTGACGCAAATGTCCTATAGCGGCTGCAAGGGGCTTTTGTTGAATAACTGTTACCTGCAGCCCTTATACAACCTCCTAATGACTGAAGTGTCGTATTAGGTATGCCCATTCCGCTTGTATAGCTTATCTAAGAGGGTTTTGCCCATGTTCTTACAGTATACAATGCCGTGTAAGGAATACTGTATAATCATTCTTGCAACTCTAATAGGAGTGATAATTG